AGAGAGAGAGAGAGAGAGAGAGAGAGAGAGAGAGAGAGAGAGAGAGAGAGAGAGAGATCCCACCGACGACGGCGGTAAACGAGACGACGACGGTTCCGGCGACGGCGGCGGCGGCGCGAGCAAGGGGAGCGGCCAACTCTCCAGGAGGGCTCGCTGGGTAGCGGCGGCAGACGCCACGCACACACGCCTGTACGTACGGAGGCACCCGTACATACAGCCCGTACGCGCGTACGTATGCATCGTTCCGTACGTACGGCCCGTACGCCTAAACGCGCTGGTGGTCGGGCCGTGCTCGCCGCCAGGGTTTTCGAGTGTCAGGCCCGTTTCGGGGGGTGGTGGGGGGTGGTGGGGGGTGGTCGAGGGGGGCGAGGTGAAGGGGGACAGGCCCGGGCAGGACAGGCTTTTGGCGCTGTCCACTAAGCTCTGCTCCGGCATCTGTGGGCGGTGGGCTACGTGCAAGGCTACAATGGCGCCCAAGAAAGGGAGGGGAGATCTGCCATTCGTTCCGGTCAGTAAAGACAAGTAGAGGGAGGCGGAGCTGAAGTTTTGCGGATTTAAGTGGGTTACGAAGGGGCAGATGATGCCGAATTCGAATGGCAATTTCCTCATGGAGTGCAAGCTGTGTGGTCAGGGTTTTTAGGGGAGCTAGACGAAAGCCGCACAACACTTCACGATCAAGAACAATTGCCCCAAAATCTCCGTGGAGCAGATAGCGGAGATATGGAACAAGACAAAGTACGGGTTCGATCCAAGCCATGCACGGAAGATCATGGACTTTCTGAAGTCTCGTGGGTTGCGAGATAACAGATGTGGATCGGGGAGGGAGCCGGCGGGGAATGAGGAGTTTGAGGACAACGAGGAGGAGAGGAGGGCGGTCGAGGGTGGAGATGATGATGGTGAGAGTGATGCAGAGGACATGGAGGTGCGGCGAGAGGTGGAGCGCGCCATGGGAAAGTTGAGGAAGGAGAAGGCCGTTGACGAGGACAGCACCCCTGACGAGGACGCCGCCGCCGACGATGACGATGAGGGAGCAGACCTTGGGGCCTCTCTGGATGGGGGGTTGATGGGCGATGGCCGTCGTGGCCAAGAGGGGGCAGCTAGGGCGATGAAGGAGGCTGCGGGATCGAAGAAGAGAAAGAGGAAGGCGAAGATGACTACCACTGAGGCGAGATCAGCACCTTCTGAGCCCAAAAAGAGCAGAGTTCTTCCACAGACGTTTATGCTGGAGACCTCGATCCAGTGTGGCAACGAGAATTCTTGGACTCCGTCCTGCAATGGTGGTACGTGAGCGGCATCCCATTCGAGGCGGCGAGGAGGCGAGAGTATCATAGGATGAGGAAGAAGTTGCTCGAGTGTCCGCCGTATGCACATCCGGCATTACCCACGCACCGTGTCATTTCGTGCGAAGGCATACCTCAGCAGCAGCGAGTTGTGGCGGACATGGTGGCGGCCATCCGCAGGGACATTGAGGCGACGGGAGCGACCATCCTCACAGATGGTCGCAAGTCCATCACGAGCGACCAGATAGTCAACTTCCTTGCTGCTGGTCCCACGGGCGCGTACCTTTTCAGGACTGTGGAGCGGGATGGTGCTGTTAAGGAGACAACAGAGGCCGTAGTGGAGCGATGGAAGGACGTGTTCGACAAGTTTGGTGTCGACAAGGTGAACGCCATTTGTACTGATTCCGCGTTTGCGTATGCTGATGCGTCCAAGCTCCTCGCCCAGGAGGAAGAAAAGTACAGCCGCATCACTTGGCTTCCGTGTGTGGTCCATGTCTGCAACTTGTTGTTGTCAGACATCGCGAAGGATGGGCGAGATGGGAGCCTCGGGAAGAGGGAGGACACCATCATCAGGGCTCGAGCTGTCGTGCGTTTCATCGGAGAGCATGGGGCGGCTCTGAGCCTTTATCGACGGTTCTCTGCCGCCCACCCCTCTTCCGCCTCCGCGGCGGCTGGTGGTTCGAGCTCTGCGCCACCCTCGTCTCAGCGGCGAGGCAGGGAGCTTGTGTACCCTGTGCAGACGAGGTTTGTCACCCACTACTTGATGCTGGAGAGGCTGTTGGATCGTCGCAGAGCGTTGGAGGCGTTGATGATGAGCGACGATTGGCTGCGGACTGCATGGAGGAGGTCCATTTTTCTGCAGGCCAGATGGGTGCGTCATCAGGTGCGGTACGCGCCAGTCTGGGAGCATGTGGAGGACATCGTGGCGCTCATGACGCCTGTGATGCTGTTGCTACGGCGTCTGGACAGGGGGGGTCACGTGATGACTCGCATGTGGTCGTGGGGTTTTGTCATGGTCGACAGGGTGGCGAGAGCAAGCCTTAACAGGACGTCGAAGGACGAGCTCCACATCGTTGTTCAGGCTTGTTTGGTGTGGGTCGCTCATTTGTTGGAGCCCGCACATTGCATGGCCCACCTCCTCAATCCGCGGCAGAGGAGCATTACTTTTTTTGGAGCGGCGAGGCGTACCGACCATGAGCGGATACTGGCAGACGAGTCGTTGCGATACCTTCGCCAGCAAACTGGTGGTGACGAGGATTTGTATCAGACGTTGCACACGCAACTGGCGGAGTTTCATTCTCGGAAGGGCGATTGGACGTATGGAGGGGCCGAAGGAGATAGGGATGCGGCCGCCTGCAAAGGGGAGAAGGAGACGTCACAGGTGGGGCAGTGGTGGGTTCAGCACGGGGACGGGGTCCCTCTCTTTCAGAGCATCGCCATTCGCTTGTCGCACACATGGACGTGCGCCTCTCCGGCGGAGAGGAATTGGGCCGTCCATGAGCGTGTTCAGGTGAAGAGGCGCAATCATCTTGGTTTCATCAAGCTGACTCGTTTGGTGGAGATATCCACCAACTTGAGATTGAGTCGTTGTCAGGGGAGGGGTTCTGGGTACGTTCTTCCATGGGAGGACGTTGAGGGGGAGAGAGAGGATGCTATTCCTCCGCCTCATGATGAGGGTGTTCGGCCGGTTGACCAAGTCACCGAGGCACAACGCGACCGGCAGAACCAGCGCGGGCGGAAGGATCGCCTTTCAAAGGCACCTCCCAACGTCGCGACGTATTTCGGTCGTCGCGCCACGGTGCTCATGGCGCATGAGTTGGAGTCTGTGTACGATCCCGAGCCTGATCCCATGGCTCAGGACGCGATGGAGGCCAAGTCGTGGTCCGATCCGGACGACCTGGCCGTGGAGTTAGAGCCAGGAGGTTCTGATGACGATGACGACGACACTCCTCTCTTCCAGATTCCGCGTCCTCGCACACGTGCGTCCACGGCGTCCGATGCACCGTGTCCCGCAGCACGCCCTATTTCGAGTGCTTCCGACGTCTCACAACCAGGCCCGGCGGACCGTGTCGAGAGCAATACGCCACACCCTTCGACCGATCGTCGCGGACAGGGAGGGACTTGCGAGCTTGTCGACGAGGGAGACGACGGCGATGGCGATGATAGGGAGGGATATGAGGGCAGCAGTGAGGATGAGGATGATCCCTGTTATTCCCCGACACGCGGACATGGTGACGACGACGACGACGAGGGCGCCGACGGTGGACGGGCTGTGGGTGGTTTGCGGAAGTCCGAGAGACAGCGTGGCGACCGATGCAGTGGTGCAGGCAGGGGAGGCAGCGGGCCGGATGTTGGGGGTGCGGGACGCACAGGTGGTGCAGGGCGTGCTGGCACAGGAAAAGTAAGGTGAGAGTCTGCATCGTCCACTCGCACTGTGCATTGGGTTGATGAGGAGAGGCCCGCTGAGGCAGCTGTGGTTGCTCCCTCCCCTATGGAGGTTGCTCCCTCCCCTGCAGAGTTCGCTGCATCGTTTAGGGAGGTTGCTCCCTCCCCTACAAGGTTCGCTGCGGCGTCTGCAGTTGTTCAGTGTCCTGAAAGTCAAACCAAAAATAGAGTAAGGTTGCACGTCATATATTTAGTCAGCGATGCAATGGGAAGTACAAATAGGGGTTATAGCTCGGGTGTACAGAGGGAAACGCAAAGGTTACCTGTCAATTCCCTGCCTCTTGAGCCTCGCCTAGGCTCCGGTAGAGCTCCCGCAATCGGTGGGTGGACTCCCCACAGAGTCTTGATGCAGTCCTACGGGTTGCAATCCCGCCTGCCGCCTTCCCCTCAGAACAAGACCAGACTCAAAGTAAGAAGGATAGAAGAAGAAGGTTTGACACTCTCAGATACAAGAGGGGTGCTCTCAAGCTCACTGGAGAGGGCCTTGTTACTTGGATGCGCCTGAGGGCCCTGCAATGGCAGCCAATGTATGAACTTGGTCAAACTCTTTATCAACCGTTGAAGCCGCCCGTCTGACGACTTCTCCAATCCGCAGTGATAACCCCTCCCTCCAACGCTCAATCACTCCCCCAAGTTCATCCGTCGTGGCACCGTAGACTACAACAGTCAGTGATAACCGTTGCGGTATATAGTAGTAGGCAGCGATCAATAACAGCGGCCTCCACCAGTTGGTCACGGATCGTGGACACTCAAGGGTAGCAGCGGCCTCCACCAGTTGGTCACGGATCGTGGACACTCAAGGGTAGCAGCGGCGCACAGTCTACAGCAACCGTCCGTGTGCAGTCCGGCGTAACAGCCAGCAGCCGCTTTGTCGTCTGCGGCAACAGCCGCAGTATGCAGCAGGCTCGCCCTTCATCAGTCTCTCACCTACACCGAAAACACAGCCCACAGTCTAAGAGCAGTGGCATCCGGGTCCAACCAACCGACAAGAACTACTATCCGCAGTAGCTGGCCTTACTATGCGGCTGTCAACAGTTGGCGGCAACAGTTGTCAGCCTTTCCCTAGTTGATCCCCACAAATCGCAGCACTGCCGGACCACACAGTGGTACCCCCAACCCTCACTGCACTGACTCAATAAAGCTTACTGCCCGAGTGGGCAGGACTACCAACCACGGTAGCTCAGCACATGCATCCCTGACCATTGTTTGGCAGCAAACCCAGGATTAGTAACGAACCCGCAGGCACGGACAGCAGCACAGTCCGACTTTTRTARTAATACACAGACTAAACTTGCTGCAGATGCACGGTCTACACAGTCGCGGACTTTGAATGCGCAGTGCCACACACGGGGCAGGGCAGCATCCTACCAGCTCAGGTCGCAACTGAAGTCCGCAGATTATAGAGCCCCACCACGTACTGAGCCTGGGAGTCATCTCGACAGGCACCCGTCATCTTCTCTGCTCTAGTACGTAGCCTCTCTCCCTCTCTCTCTCTCTGCGTGCATGGACCATAACCAATGCGTCCATTGTCGGTAATTCAAACAACAACAACCAACCGAAACTCACGGCCCTCTTCTGCCTGAGTGCCGGCGGACACGTTGTGTTTTCGGGCTATTGTGTGTAGGCGGACCGAAATGTGCACAGTCGACTGAATCTTCCACTGAGACGTGGAAAGACACATTGCCATCCTAGGATCCCGTTTCTCCAGCTTTCCCCCTCTAACTTACTGCATACACGAACTGCGGCCTACAACGGAGCCATGCACTGGTCAACAGGTAAGTGCCCACCCTCGTGGCTAACTTCACCCCGCCCCCGCATCAAAGGGCTAAGCAGGATTTGATGAATCTTTCGCTAGTAGCTGGAAGGACACATTACAATCTCGAATCTTCCTCTGACGCGGCCTGTAACACTAACCCTGGCCGAACCCCTATCCCATAGACAAAACCGACATCGCCAATGTGTTTACAATGTCCCAGAATCCCAATTTTGATCCTTTCCCCGCTTGATTCCGTAAGGGATCGAACGGGATACTTGCTCTCCCTTCTTCCCCCTCCGCAGCTCCGCCATAGCCTCGGCGGACTGGTTTTGCTACTAACATACTATCCGTTTTCCTAGTCTAACATCATATACCGGGTCGCCCACCCCTGAACTACGGATCAGCTATTCCCCCAAGCTTGATTCCGAAAAGAATCGAGTGAGGCACTTACCTTTCCGTGGTATAAGTACCTGGCCACGACTACGGCCAGGCTCAGTTGCAAACAGCCAACGCGAATCGAGCGCAGCCCCGAAATGCTACCCCAGTAAATCTATGAGCTATCACTTGAATCCGATCTCGCCATCGGCTTCACTTGATCAAGAAATCTTCGCTCAGCACTTTAGTTCGGTCGATTTCATCAGGAATCGAGCGAACTCTCCCTTTCTACTCCCTCGGCCTCCGCCATCGCCATAACTCCGCGCACTAACCTCTACTTCTACCTCTAATCCTACTGACCCTTGACTAAAACTGACCTCGAAAGCAGAATCGCCCGTCGTCAAAACCCCGAACATGAATCTTATCTCGCCTGATTCCGCTTGGAGATGAGCAAACTACATTTGCTTGCTCTTCTTCCTTCTTCGAATGAATCCGGCGCCGAAACGCGCCCGGATTCATTCCCTCTCTTTTCTCCTTCGCTGCTGCCCGTCACTCTTCAGTGTTTTGCCTTGCCTTTCCGCTCGCAACTGCACAGTCGTTGCCTGCCTTTGTTTGACCCAGCGCCCGTTCTGCCACAGCCGAGCCTCCTTCTCCTCTGCCCCGCATGCACCCGACTTCGAACTCCGTCCCGATGCATTCGGCTTTCCCCCCTTGCCTTCCCGCACCCTGCTGGTCCGCTCGCTACCGCTTACTGTCCGCTTTGCTGCTCTGCTTAGCATGCATCTGCGGCGGGATCCTGTCCCGTTCCGTCCCTTCCCCTCGCTAGCGTCCGTCTCACACCCGCTGCTTCGATTGTCTACCCTCTGCTGTGCCGCTGCCTGCCTCCACCACGCCCGATTTCTTTCTCCACCTCTCCTCGTTGTCGCCAACCCGTACTCCAGCGCACCCCGACAAGTGATGCGGCCGCGCTCGCAACATACCACCGAATGAACTCCGACAGTACTAACCCAAACAAAAAAAACGGGGAGGCCGCCCCCCTCGCTTGATACTCCTCATCCTTGTGCGGGGGGGTCACGCTAATCTTCGCTGCATCGTTCCAATTTTAACGGATTTCGTAGGACTTTTTCTAGCAGTCGGCGCCTTGCGGCGCTTCCAAATGCCGCTCCGCCCCCTACCTTTTCTTAACCTTTTCGCATCTGCATCCGCCCTTTTCTCTCGCCCGGGTTCACTCCAGGATTACGAGAGCTATGCAACGGCCGAACTGGCCACTCCACACCTCTGCGCTTGGTCGCACGACCCTGCGGCACCCTGTTGGGGCGACGGTAACCCCTGCCCTCGGCACTTCCCAAGTGGGCACCACTTGGCCGTCGCTCCATACCCCAGTCCCGCCATCCGAGTTCAGACGCGGGTCTGTATTTCCATAGTGCGTGGGTGCACCACCGAGGTAGGCCCTTGGATCCCACTTCACGTCCACTATGCCGCGTCCTAAGCCAAACGGGCGCGGTCAGGGTAGCCCCTGCGCAGCCACGAATCACAGCCGGCAATTGCACTGCAGGCAATCCCGTGACTACAACATACCCCCTGCACGATTTCGCGCCCACCTACAGGTGTGAGACGAATAATAATAGTATTAAAAACTTGGAAATAAATCATATATTTACATATATATATATGGACATATAAGAACCGCAATGCACGCGGTAATCAGGCGAAAACCGCAATGCACGCGGTAATCAGGCGAAAGTTGCGGCCCCCGTGGTAGCAAAAGGTGAGGGGTATAGTCCTACCGGCCCATCAACCCCTCAAGCCTTTTCGCCGCGCCCCTCTGTTCCCTCATTGCATGCCGTTGGCCTCGATCCTTACGTCTGCTGCGTACCAGTCCGGTGTTATAACCTATAGGGCTAAGCCCAAGCTTGGTATTAGCAGGCCTGACTCGCCTTATAGAGAGGTAGCGCACGGCCCTTGGGGCCAAGGAAACGCCCTATACCACTTCCCGGCCCACACTTGCACAAGGGACCACCCAAACTCACGTCGGCCTACCGGCCTTGCCGCGGCTACCCGTCCTTAGCCAAATCCATCAGGTCCCACCAGGGCATCCAATCACCCAAACCCTGATGGTCAGTGGCATGAGGACACATTCAATTACAGTGACTTCATTGCAAACCACATGCCCTAGAATCGAACGCATGCCTCATTTACAGCCCCTATTGCAAGGGTCCTGACTGACCACAACTTGCGAGAGTGTATCACATTGCATGCCTCGTCATCATTCACATAGATCATGATTCATGAGCCACCACACTTGACGAAGATGAGATGAGATGAGAACTGAGTCGCGCAGCTTATATTATCAATCATCACAATTACAAAGACTGTCTCGAGTTCCTGGTCCAAGCGCTCATCAATACAATGTTCCTCTTCCGTCCAACATCAATAGTTGGGGCCTGGTCAAGCCAGCGCCACCTCAGCAACTCAAGCGCAGAACAGGTAAGCATTAACCATACCCAACTCTTCTCCCCAAGCACTCTGCCTCGGTCCCTCTGTCTCTCCAAGCATGCACACTCCTGCTACGAGAATCTGCTTTGAATGCTACTCACTGGAGTCTACTTACTAACCCTCTAATCCTACTAACTAGCTGGGCAGCTATGGCTGCCACTTGCAGGCCGGCGCCCAACACTCTCTCTGACTCTCAGCGCATCTTCGTCCTCTAACGTTCTTCCAGCAGGCTAGCGCACAAGTGCACGCAGCACTTCCACGCATTATTGCCAGTGGAGATCTGTTGACAAGGGAGGCTGGTATCCTCCTTTTTACTGCTGGCCTCCCCTAGCGAGGTCTGCATTGCCACATTCGGGCCTCCGTCTGTCCCAGACCCTTGCATGTTGTGTGTCCCAGTACTTCCCATTGAGGTATGCTGCTGCTGTGTGTCCCGGTACTTCCCATTAAGGTATGATTACATTGGTAAGCCGTAGTGGGTGACGAAGCAATCATGATGCATTGATTGAATGCTTGTTTGAGTGATCTGTTATTACCCGGACCAAATTCGAAGTACACATTCATCAAACAGCACAATGCCGTCCAATTGCAAAAGGATACCCCGAAATGAATGAACTTGAGAGAGGAGAGAGGGTAAGAAGGAGAAGAAGAAGTAAGAAAGAAAGAAGAAGATGATGTACAASAGCATTAACAAATGACAAGCTCTTCTTCTTCGCCAAACTCTCTCCTCCTCCTTATCTCCCCGTCCTTAATTAAAACAAGAAATAGTAATAACAATGTTGAAAGGCTGATCCAGAATCAATGTCGGAGTTCCTCTTCTACTACTGGATCACACGACGTCCTCCATAGCCATGGCCGCCTCTCCTTCCTCTTCACTCGCATAGGCCGAGACTAYGGCGGAATACTATGCCCCACCGTGATGTCCAAAGGACAACACAAAGCAGCTACGGCTGCGTGGCTCAACCGTGATGTCCAAAGGACAACTCAAAGCAGCTATGGCTGCCTCAGCTCATGCCGCCATGCCCACTCTGCCTSGAAGCTCCTTGCTGTAGCTCTCCCCCTCCGAGGGGAACCTCCAACTGCAGCGCCTACCAAGGTGATGAAGATGGCTGCCACGGTAGGCAGGTAAGTACCCCTGGGGCTCCTCCCCTTCTTCGTCCTTCTTCCTCCTTCTTCCTTCCTGTTCTTCCGCTATCCCCAGGGCCACGGGGCCGCTACCTTCGCCACTTCAGAGTTTCCCTGACTGCAACCCTCAATGGCACGGCCACAGGTAAGTACCGGCCCCACGGGCCTGCCAAACAAGCAAGTACCCTACCGGGTCACACACACACTCAATCAGACAAGCACTCAGACAGGCACGCAGTCCACTGGCACGCACGCACACAGACTTAGCAAACCCAGCAACAAGCGGAATACCCAGTGAGGCATTCATTCCACGAGCAAAACTCAGAAATGAGCTGTGTGACCCAGTCCGTGTTTTGATGGGTCATCACCGATCAATTCACTGATTGATTGATGTTCTGATTAATTTAATTGTTTGATTTATTGATTAATTTCATTGACTGATTGATTTATTGATCATTTCATTGAGTGGTTGCCTATCTTATGATACAATCCACATTGCCAGACGGTCGACATTACCTTCGACCAGGGCATCCAGTCGTCCAGACCCGGATGGTCCCTAGCATGGCCACACAATCAAACACAGTTTATTAGTCATTGSGAAGCACTTGACAGAAAATCAAACTCTAACGGGTCACGTCATAATTCTAAGCACTTATGGGAACCAAGGACTTATATCATTGCGGACCCAGTCCGTGTTTTGACGGGTCATCACCGATCTATGTGACACACTCACATAGACACAGACACAGACACAAACACTGACACAAACACACACACACACACACACACACACACACACACACACACACACACACACACACACACACACACACAATGTGACAGATAGATTCACCTGCCACGAACGCCCGTTGTTCAATATGTCACCATAATTCTCGACGTCTCATCAACACAATTTTCAACGCCTTGCTCGTGCGCCTTTGCCCAAGTTGTGTAGAAGGTTCCTCGCACCCTCGTATCGACTACTGGGTCTTCTGTGACGCYGCGGTCGCSGTTCAGCAGATGCTTGTGCCTCACATGCCGCCTCTTTCCGCTCTTTGCCCCTGCTCCATTCCTGACCATTCAACTCCTTCTCCGTTTCTGACAGCTCCTCGTCTTCATTATCGTCGTTGTCCTCGTCCTCCGCACAGAGGTCCACCACTTCCGCCTCACCGACCTTGTCTTCCCCTTTTTCATCACAGTCCGCCTTACTCCCTGCTCGGGTATCCTCTGCCCCCGTGTTAACGTTGTCCGTGCTCTCTTCATTCCGCTCCGCATCCCCTGCCTTATTCTCTTCACCCACTCCTTCGTCGTCCTCTCCTTTCTCCTCCTCTTCATGGTCATCCTCCTCGTCTTCCTCCGCTCCTCTCCCGTCGTTGTTGCCCCCCTCCTCTTGTTCCTCCGCCTTATCCTCGTCTTCATTGTCCTCATCATCTTCCGCGTCGTCCATGTCCTTGTCTTCACCGTCCTCGTCCTCTCGTTCCTCGTCATCATTCTCCCTCTCCGTGTTGTCCTTATCCTCCCCTTCCTCGTCGTTGCCCCCATCTCCCATCACTCCCTCCTCGCCTCCATCATTCTCCTTGTCCCGCCGTCGACCGTGTCTCCCATCCCCATTGTCAACCTCTGTGTCGGTGTCGCTTTCCTCCACAGCCATTTTGTCGTCCTCGAATAATCCGTCATGCTCGTGCACTGCCGGGTCGAGGCCGATGTCGTCGATAACATCACCAACATAAACGCCGAGATTATCGTGCTCGTCCCCGAACCGCTCGTGACCACGAAGCCGGGTTGCGCCGACACGAGCAGGGGTGACATCTCCTGCAACTACCGCGTTGCAAGGGCGCACTCCACCGGCCGGCCTCGGGGTTCTGCACCTGCGCGCATTGCGGCCTGCGAGACCGCAAAGGGTGCACTTTTGCTTCTTTGCCTGCGGTTGGTGCAGTCTTCCTCCCTCCGAACAACTTTAGATCCGACTGCCGTTTGGCGGGCGTCCCTTTTGCCGCCTGGTTGCGGGAGGAAGAACAACGGGCTCGGTTTCCAGATTGCGTTCTGCAGACGCAAAACATGTAGGATACACAACACCGTCGTATGTAGCTCGCAGCGCTCGCGTTGTATATAATTCAGCGACGTACATTCCGATGTCCTCTTTCCGTGCGACGATAGCAGCTGCAGCATGAGCGCATGGACGTACTGTGTCCTCCCAGAAGCCGCAAGTGCATATCACCTTTGGTCGTTGCAACTCCACCCGCCAAGACTGTCGTCGGCCATGCGAATTCGTCATGTAGACCTCGTACACATTTCGGGCGGCTTTTTGAAGGGAATATTTCCTTGACAACTGCAAAGTCACTTCGAGGAAGTCTTCGACAACCTCAGGATGTTTCCCTGCCTGTGCGGCCGCCGCGTCTCTTCTCTTAGTGTGCCACTTCTGCAACCAACCCCGATACTCCTCGATTAGCGGTATCGGTGGCATCCCCCGAGCCTTTAAGAACTTGCTGTTCATCGACTCGGCCACTTGCGATGTCACCTTGCCATACCGTGGAGAAAATGAGGCCCTCCCCAATGCCTCTTGTCAGCTTTCTCGAAGATCTTTTGCAGTATGTTTTTGTCTTTTGAGAAATCAGCAAGCCGCTGCATGTAATAGTTGAACACCGGCTCGCTCGTGCTTCGTGCAGCTTCGAGGAGCATGTCCGCCTGGTCATTGTTGATCCTTAAACTCTTCAAAAGGTTACCGGTGACATGACGGACACAATACGCATGTCGGTGATCCCCGAACTCTTCGCTCACCGCGGGAACGGGTCCTTTGTCGCGATCGGACATAATCGTGATGGACTCATGAGGCACTTCGGCAATGGTACAGACGCGATTTAGAAGAACCAAAAACCACTTCCAATTGTTCTTGCTCTCGGTGTCGACAATTGCATAAGCAAYGGGGAAACACTGACCATTCGCGTCTCGTCCAGTGGCGCCGAGAAGGCAACACTCATACTTCCCTCGGATATGAGCCCCGTCCAACACGAGCAATGGCCTGCAATCTCCGAACCCAGTCACTGAAGCAGCGAACGCAAAGAAAACCCGGACAAAGACGTCGCCATTGCACTCGAAGTCGATAACGGACCCGGGGTTAGTCTCCTGCACGACCCTGCAGTATGCACGCAAATCGGTGTACCCGGCCTAAGGAGCACCTCGCAATGCCTCGACCGCTCTCGTCCTCGCTCGAAGGCACTTGCTGTAGCTGACAGGGGTGTTGATCGTTTCTGCGAACCATTTGTGCAAATCAGTTGCTGTTGTCTCAATCTTCTCTCGCATTTTCTACTCCACCATCAGCTCCACCCACTTCACCTTCGCGTGTTTGTTGCCTGTTGTCTCCCGGACTGGCGGTCTGCAACCACGGTGATGTGGGATGAGGCGAACAATTTTAGCAGGGCCGTTTGCATGTGCTGCCCTACCCTCCAACTCCCACGGGCAGTCTGGACTGGCGCAGATGGCGTGAAACTGG